ACTTTCCCTGTGTTTCTAAGATGGCAATCGGTGGACCAAAGAAAAGAATGTATTTGTCTAGCCATAAGCACTCATTGGAAGTTTGCTCTGGGTAGGGCTGGCCAGAAGTGCAGAGTGGCAGGGGTCAGGGTAGGGGAGACACCAAAATTTAATTTGATTTTTTAGAAAAGGAGACGAAGGCCTGAATTAAAGTGCAGATTTAAAGGACTTTTAAGGATACTTAATTATCACCACAAAGTCACCAAACATAACCCACCAAATATAATTATAAGAATAAATGAACAGAGAGTCTGTGCCAAGTTTGGTCTTCCAGGTTTGATTGAGAGCAAAGCCAAAAAACAGAGATTAAACAAGGGAAAGCTGTAGTTCATAGAGTATCAGCTTACCTCAGAAAAAGGGCAAATGTCTGCAGCTGGGATACAGCCCATCCAAACAGCAAGACCCAGAGAGGGGGTGGTATGTGCTCAAAGAGCCTGATTCTTCTCCCAGTGCCCAAACATATCATTACCCAACACGGAGAGAATGACTCGATAGATTTCTACCTGCTTTTCATTTCCAACATTCCCATGGGTGTAACTCCAATATACTAACTCCTCAACCATAAATCATATAGACAGAAAAAGCCTCATTTCAGAAGGTCTCATGAAAGCATAAGATCTATCAGCATCACTCACAAGGAGTAAGACAAACTGTCTTTTACACAGTTTGTTGGAGAGAGAAAGGCCAAAAATTGCACAAAGGTCATGTGGAATATGAGCTATATTGTGTTCGAAGGACATTTTTATTTTAGGGTGCACCAAATAGCTCACCACACAGAGCTAGCAGACAAGATACAGTTCCACAAATATAGGGATCAGTTTACTTCTAAACACTGTTTGGAAAGTGCATGTGACAACAGCTCCCCCCTTTCTCCTCCCCTCTGCCCACAACTCCCTCCCCACCCACTGTTGCATGATCTACAAAGTCTGGACAAGTATTGTCAGTTTTCTTCATCCTCTTGGGAATTATTTCCTTGCATCACCCTCCACAGATATTTCCTTGACCCACTTCCATAGAAAGCCAGTATGTTGGTCTATCAATTGCCCCATTTTTATATAATTCAGGTGGTGAGTTTGCAAATGTTAATGATTTCACACTGGCTTGTAGCTCAGGCTTTTGAATATAATCTATGATGATTAATGTTATGTGCCAACTTGGGTAGGCTATGGTGCCCAATTATTTGGCCAAAAAACCAGTGTAGATGTTGCTCTGAAGGTTTCTTAAGATGTGATTAACACTGAAATCAGCAGCCTTTGTGTAAGGCAAATTATTCTCCAGAATGTGGATGAGTCTCATCCAATCAGTCAAAGGCTTAAGGGCAAAATCTGAAGTTTCCCAAAAAAGAAGGAATTCTCAAGTCTGCAGTTCAGAGACTTGGCCAAAGTTTGCTGTCTCACAGAGTTTGGACTCAAGACTGAAACAACTCTCGTCTGAGTTTCTTGCCTGCTGGCCTGTCCTACGGATTTCAGACTTGCCCATCCCTGAAATTGGGTGACCCAATTCCAATTCCTTAAAACATTTTCTTTCTCCTGTATCTCTCTGTTTCTCACTCTCAATAGCAATATATTCTAATACTTTTACAGGCTCTGTTTCTCTGGAGAACTCTGACTAGTACGTAATCAAATTCCCCTTCACGTGACATCCTTGCAACCACGCCTTCTCTGAAATAAATATGCACATGATTCTTCACTGTAAGAACATTTCATGTGCTTCAGATCACTCTGCAGTTGTTCTCCGTGACCACCTGGGAAAGATAAGACATACCCATCACTGTCTTGGGAACTGGTGTGTGATCCTGAGCTGGCACCTCTGCAGCTGCAGAATGACCAAGGTGCTGGCAGAAGTTTCTGCTGATCCTGGGGAGCCAGAACACAGAGCTGACGATCACAAGGGAGTTCGTGTCCCAGCACTTACGCCAAGTTTTGTTAGCTAAAGTCAGCAGATGGAGTATGAGGAAGAAAGGCATCTTTCTACTGCTTCCTTACATTTTGAAAACACAGCTTTCCGCTCTCAAAACAGGGTGGGAGCTAAGAGGAGGCATGGCTAGGGGAGGGGAGGGCAAGAAGCCGATTTGTAGCTGGTACCTCACACCGCATATACTATCAACCTACTTTTATTTGTGAACACAAGGTTTAACATTTTTTTCTTTTCAGAGGAGTCTTGATTTGGGGTATTCTGTCCTATGATTAGAGTATGTGTCAGAAAATGTTGCCAGTTTTCAGTTGGGAAAATAAGGCTCTCTTCACACACTGCTTCTGTGATGACCCTCTTATCTCCGTGATTTCCTTTATTTTATGCTTCCCATTCCCAGGTATCTTGGCTGACTTCCCACCCTCTTCTTTGCCTGCCCAGATTATGACCTGCCTTTAATACCCATCTCAAATTTACTTCTCAGGACCACAGTTTTAATGGGCCTTAGCCACTTTTGCCTTCACAAGCTCCTTCCTTTGCTTAAAAAAAAAAAAAATCTAAAAATTACATTTGCATTGGTAGAAAGAAGTATAATCTACCCAGGAGTGTAATTATTGTTTTCTTTTTTCTTTTAAAAGAAATCCAAAACTTCTCAGGGGCCCCTTAAAGTGTTGTGGGCCCTGGGCACAATCTCCTGGCCCTGCTGGATGATTATCTGTGTCTTGTTCCTCCTGCATAAAAATGCCCTACACAGATGCCTCTCATCTTGACTTGCTGGCTTTTACATTTCCTCTGGACACAGAGATGTGAATTCAAATCCCAGCTTCATCACTTTCTAAGTATAAACCTGAGCAAGTGATTCAGCCTGTCTGAACACTAGCTTCCTCCCGTGTGATTCTCCCCTCAGGCAGTGGCCATGGTAAGGGGAGGTCCTGTAGGACAGAGCACAGTACCTGGTCCATGGCAGATGCTTGCCAATTGATAGCTGCTTATATTTAAACTGACACTGGACATTAACTTTCTTGGTTTAAATATTCCACTACTGTCTACCTTTTCACTTATGTTGAACTCCCTTACTAAGCTATACACTCCCAGAGGGCTGGGTGTGTAAGTTTTAGACCAGTGCTGCTCAAACTTTAGCGTGCTTCGGAATCACCTGGAGGAGGTGTTGAACCGCAGATGGCTGGTAATCTGCATTTTTAACAAGTACCCAGGTGATGCTGAGTTGCTGTTTTTAGGACCCCACTTAGGAATCACTATTTTAGGGAATTCTGCACTCTCCCAAAATCTGGAACAGAGGGAAGCTTTCAAGCACCTTTGGTAAAAATTATTTTTGCAAAAGGTAATACAGATGCCAGCAGGAAATCTGCTCCTTCTCGCAATTGTGAGAAGACTTTTCATTACTAAAGGGGCTGAGCAGGAAAGGATGAGGAAAGAAATTGAAAGAAAAGGGGCTGGTGGCACAACGGAACACTCCTCATCTGTTGGATTCCAAGGGCATGTGCGAAATGCAGACAAGAAGCCAAACAATAGCTCAGCCAACTGCAGGCTTCCTGCGTGCTTAGCTCAATCTATAACAATGCCAGCAGGGCTGCTGGGGTCCATCTGCTATTCCCTTTCTGGTAAGAGATCTGGAGTCTCTTTGGAAGGAAATAGCTTGACAGGACAAAAGAAAGATTAGGCCAACTGAAAATGTCTGGCTTTACGAAGCTGCACTTGAATGTGGTATAACTTTTAACTCTTGATGGCACTTCACAAACCCGCATTGCACCCTGCTATTCTATTTCCCTTGTTCCTTTCATGGAGAAATGTAACTGGTGAATGCCAAAGCCCTTCTGGACACATTCTATTTACACACATATTAAGTTCACGGGCTTTAATACCGTAGGAAGGCTTGAGCTTCTCCAGCCCAACCCACTAATTTTACGGATGAGGAAACGTAAGCCTAGGGTTAGTCCTAAAATGCATAACCAGTCATGCTAGAGCCAGGCTGGAATCCAGATTCCTTGACTTGCACACAGTAAGCACATGGTGTGTATAGATAGACCTTTATACTCCCAAAATGAGTAGGAAAAAGACATCTTTTCTCCACTGCACTTTAAGGAGGAAATATGATCTTCCCTTTCACTTGTTATTTTTCACAATTTGCCCTTTTGTGCCTGGAAGCAGGAGGGCTTTAGAAGGGCAGATGCAGAGAAATGAACAGCCCCACACAGTTTCCACAGGGCCTGGAAGCCTGAAGGCAGGATAGACATCCTGTTCCCAGCTCCATGTCCATTTGCTACCCAGAAACTTGGCCCAGAACATATTCCCAAAAACCCTATGGTAACGAATGAATGAATGAATAAATGAAAATGAATGAAGGATGTGATGGTAGCTTGCCAGTTTTTCAGCCAACTAGGGAATGTTTCACACAAAGATTTCAAGCTTGCTGTGGAGTCTCCTTATTCCCACTAGTAAATTAGGTGCTTGAGTAAACCAGAATGACTTTCTCTGTATGATAGGCAATGTGCTAGCTGGAAAGGTACAGATTTGGAGGTGGAAAACTTTGAACCCAGAATGTTCACTCTGATTACTTAATTCTAAGCAAGTTATAGAACCTTCCTGAAACTCAAGATCCCTCCACCCACCAGTATGTGTAAAATAAAGATAATGATACCTACCGCCTCAGGGTTGTTGTAAGCATTCAGTGAGTCAGTGTGTGCAAACTGCCTTGCACTATGAATAAAGGTCAGTGCCCTTCCCTCTGACTCTAACTGCTTGTTTTAGAGTAATATAGGTATTGAGTAGGTGGAGTAATTTTAAGTATCAGAAGAGTAAGTAAAATTAGACTGGATGGAAATCAAAGGAGCTTATTTAACTGAAAATATACACAAATCATTACCATTATGGTTATCCAGCAGCTGCTTTTACTGACAGTGTTCTTTGCAATAAATATAAGCAAAACTTCTGTCATCTAGGTATTCTTTACATTCCATAATCCCTTACCATTTTCCCAGTTTCTAATAAAGTGGTATTCAGGAGAAAAATAAATCTAGCTTTTTGCTTACCCATTTGGTCTTGGTTTCCCTGTTCTGGACTCAAGAAACTCTGTCTCCTCTTCAATTTCCATTTCAGGGATTATGTTTTTCTGAGAAGGCTGTGGTGAAAGCATTTCCCATTCATTGTCATGGGTGATGGGCTGCAACATAACAGCATCTGGGCCAGCCCTGCCTCTGCTCTTGCTCTTCTGTGATTGGTTGCTCAGACCAGAGGCTTCCTCTAGAGCTACAGATTCTAGAGGTTTCATTTCTCCCGAAACCTGCATTTGGGGACCTTTGCCAAAGCCAGCATCAGTGGCTGGCTCCACAGCGTTGCCGAGCCACCCAGGCCCTGAGTCCCTAGCTTCTGCTGATGGATCACAGACTTCACTCTGGCCCAAGACCATCCAAGTCTGGTCTTGCCTAGGACTTTCGAGGGATGATCTCTTAGCATCTTTGCAAGACATTCTCTCTGCAGAATGATCTTTTCTTTCATTTAAAGAGGCAGGCTGGCACGTGTCTGGAAAGCTTGCTAACTGAGTTCCTGGCAGCCCTGTTTCTTCAGAACCTACGTGAAACTCTTCTAATTCAGATTTGTTTTTTCTTGCTTCACATGCCTCTGGCTTAGGGGTTGCATTTTCTTCATGGTTTACAAGTATGTAATCTATGTGTAGGGTGTGATGATCTTCATTCTTTTCTGTGAATCTTTCTTCCCCAAATTCTGGTTCTATCTGCTCAGGCTCTTTAATAGAAATTATTTTTTCTTCTTCCGACTCTAATATTCCCTCGTCGCTGGCACCTAAAAGTGGAAGATGAAGGTAAGAAGAGGAGAATAAGCTTTAATTAACACATTATGTGATTCGTGATCCTTGCAAATGATCCATCTAAAGAGAGATAATTTAAGAAATATTTTAATTTTGTACAGCTGTTGGATTTTCTCATGCACTCTCAAGGATAGGTATTATACAAGCAGTAGATATTACTGCTGTAACACAGGACTTGGTTAGTAACTGCATGCTTTGCAAATGTAGTTAGTTGCTCTTTATCCACACTGGTAGGAAGAGTGCATTTTACAAATGTGTTAAGTGCCTGAAAGCAGCAGCTTCTTGGGAAACGGGTGGAGGAATGAGGTGTTTCTTACCATTTAGTGGTCCGATGTCTCCACCTGCTGGTGAATCCAAATGACCTGTTTCTACTTCCCAGTCAATGTTTGAAGGAGACAGTTCGATATTGGAGTCAGTTTCTCTCGGCAAAACCATTGGTTCAGGGTCTTCGTGAATATGCAGCACAACCAGCTGGTCTCCAGGCTGTCTGTTCTTGGTCTCAGCATGGTTTTTCTTGCTTCTTCTGTCAGGAAGGGCAGAAAGCAAGATCTCTCCTGTTTCACTTCCCAAAGACTCATCCTCTGGAGCGCCACCGTCCTCTGTTGTTTTGACACCAAGAGTAGTTTCCGTGAGACAGGACAAATCAAAGGGAGGTGTGTAAGGTGCCAGCGATTGCTTCAGGGCATCTTCTTCCCACGGAGGGTCGCCACCATAGTGAAAGTGTTCAGGCTCTCTCATTAAATCGTCATCCATATTTTGGCCCATGACGTCATATTCAAAATCACCCCATGAGGCTTCAGATGAACAGATATCTTGCTTTCCTGCATCTCCATCAACTGGAGTTTCGGGATTGCCTTCTGATAATGTCAGTTTGCTCATGTCATCTATTGTTCCTGTGGATGTGTTGAGACCTGAGGCATCACTGAAACTGTGGTCAAAGGCAGCTTCGCTTACATCCAGACAAGTGTCTGAGGCAAACAACATGTGAGGAAGTGCACTGGGACTCTCAGCAGCAAAAGGTGGCTCATGGTCCAACATGGCCCCTGCATCTGTCTGACTTTCGGGGGACAAGCCCTCCGATATCCAGGAGCTGTTGCCATTCACAGTTGGCTTTTGGTGAGTTATAAAAATACTGGTTCCCATGTCTTCAGCCATGGAGACTGTTCTGTCAACAGGTTCCAAAGATGGCGCTACATCTGGGTTGGATCCTTTTTCTGATGCTTGTAAACCTGTAGTGTTTTCAGCATTTATTTCAGAAGGTTCAGGAGAACCTTTGTGAGAGGCAGGCTGAGATGAGTCATTTTTGTTTGCCTGATCACTGACTGGAGGCAGCGGAGTTGCGTTTTCAGAACATAGTTCTGAATTGTATGAGACCAATTCCTGCCGAGGTTCCTGACTGGGTTCTTCATCCATCTTTGGCTTGGTGAGATATAACTCCCTGGCTTCCCCTTCAGGTCCTGTCTCAGCCCCAATGTGCTGCTCGGTCTCTAGCTTTGCTTCGTAATCATGGCATATATCAGGGCTGTTGGAAGCCTGAGAACTGCTGTCATGGTCACAGTGAGTCAGTATATCAGGATTCTCACCATCTGCTTTCAAACTGAAGGGCTGCTTAGCATCCATCCACAAGTCAGGTGAAGCTGAGGCCAGTTGCCCACTCTCTTGGAAGTTGCCATGTAAAATATCTGGCACAAACTCGCCTTGGGGGCCCTCACTAGGGAGAGATTTCTTTAGCAACTGGGTGGAAGAACTGACAGCATGGAATTCTTCTGAGGCAATGCTTGAATTTGTCATTTCCCTGGGGTATGATTTTTCTTCTTTCCACCAATTTGTTTCTTCACACTCAATAGTTGAAACATTAGATATAACACATCCATTGTCATCTGTGTGAGTAAATGTTGGGTCTGGCTGATTCCAGATAGACAGCACTGTATTCTGACACTGCTCTTGGGTAGGTGTTTCAGAAGTGAGTTCATCACCAGCAGAAGACAAGAAGGTTTGTTCTCTGGAATCCTTCTCTTTAAGTTGGCCCAATATCACGAGTTGGCTAAGCTGATCAGCTTCTGGGTCAGGCTGCCTTGGTTGAATGTTCCAAAGTTGCTCGTGGGAGTTCTCCCCCATACCATCCAGAAAGAGTGACTGCTGTTTATCACCGAAAGGATCAGTGCAGTGCATTTCCATGGGTTCAGTGTCGTCCTGAATGGGTACTCCCCAGGGACCCACATTCTGGTATTCTGAAGAATTCGTCTCTAACACACCACTTGAGTTAGATGATTGCCCTTCAAATGTACTTTCAATTGGTTGCCCTTCCTTTAGAGAGGCATTCCACCACTCGGTACTCTCAGCTGAGAAGCCAAGCATTTCCAATTTAGAATAATCTTCATTGTTTGGTTCAGTTTTGGGAGATACTTGCCATATGATGTCTCCTGTCTCCCCTGTTTCCGGAGAAGATCTCGTCTCCTTGTCCACTGCTGTAATTTGTATTTCAGTCTCCTTTAGTGCTGAGAAATTCCAGTGATTAGGGCTGCTTTGTTGATTGTCACAGAGTAGGTTTGACTTATTTTCATTCTCTGCTGGTTCTGAACTGCCTACAAAGGCAGAAAATGCCTCAGACTTGGGATCAGCTGTGACCAAGAACTTATTAGATTCAGCCAATGAATCCCAAACTCGGGGTTCATGCTGAGCAACTTGGGAAGTGACCAAAAGGATCTCTTTCTCCACTGACTCGCCATCATCTGCACTATCTTCATCAGAACCTGAGCTTGCTGAAATGAACTTGGCACCCTCTGGCTGCACAGTTTCTGGAATGTCATGTTCATTTATCTCCTGATGGCTAACCACTAGATTGCCTTCCTGATATGCACCTGAGTGTTCAGAATATTTGCCTGTTTCAGGGCTGGATAAAGAGGAAAGGGAATCTCCATCTGCTGAGTCATTCCAAATCTCTAAAAATTTAGGAACCTTGTGATCTAAGCTCTTTTCCAGTCTGTCCATTCTGTTTTTCTCCAGGCCCTTCATTTCCGTAATTACTTCTAGTTGGCCATCAGCAGTAATTAGTTCAGATTCTTGGTGCTTCTGTTCATTCCAACCACCTTGATTCTCCTTCTGATGCCCAGTATTGGGTCCATGGTCCCAGGAAAGTAATGCAGCTGAAGAATCATTTAGGTCAGGACTTGATGCACTTGAATGTGAATACTCACTTGAAGTACTCTCTTTGTCATGATTTCCTGAACTGGCCCTCGGGGGGCTATTGTCAGTACTTCTAACTTCCAGGTTCTTAGTTCTCTCAGAACCTGTACAGCTGACCTGCAGACCACTGTCTCCAGGGCCATCCCAAACTTCAAGGCTTTGGGGGCATTCATGAAGTGGTTCTTGGTTCACTCTGTCTGGCTCTGGAATGCTACCTTTTTCAGTTTTCTCAACATCTATTTCAGGTAAAGATACTGTTTTTGTTAACTGCAGCCCACCTGAAATCTCAATAGTTTCATCTGAATTTCTGTGACTCATGAGGGTCTTTTCAAAGGTCTCTTTTGCCTGCAGGTGACTTGCAGAAACCTCTGTTTGTACATCACAGAGGTCTGGATTGTAAGACCCCTTGTCATATTCTAAAACCTTCTGGGGTTCCTCAGTGTGAGGACTGGAAGTGATTGAAAAAGAGCTGATTTTGCCTGGCTCATCACAGATTTCTTGATGTTCAGATGCAACTGGGGAAGAGCATTCCTGACTTTTTCCAGAAATTCCCGAGGCTCTATCCATCTCTTCCTTAGGGCTGCTTTGTTGATTGTCACAGAGTAGGTTTGACTTATTTTCATTCTCTGCTGGTTCTGAACTGCCTACAAAGGCAGAAAATGCCTCAGACTTGGGATCAGCTGTGACCAAGAACTTATTAGATTCAGCCAATGAATCCCAAACTCGGGGTTCATGCTGAGCAACTTGGGAAGTGACCAAAAGGATCTCTTTCTCCACTGACTCGCCATCATCTGCACTATCTTCATCAGAACCTGAGCTTGCTGAAATGAACTTGGCACCCTCTGGCTGCACAGTTTCTGGAATGTCATGTTCATTTATCTCCTGATGGCTAACCACTAGATTGCCTTCCTGATATGCACCTGAGTGTTCAGAATATTTGCCTGTTTCAGGGCTGGATAAAGAGGAAAGGGAATCTCCATCTGCTGAGTCATTCCAAATCTCTAAAAATTTAGGAACCTTGTGATCTAAGCTCTTTTCCAGTCTGTCCATTCTGTTTTTCTCCAGGCCCTTCATTTCCGTAATTACTTCTAGTTGGCCATCAGCAGTAATTAGTTCAGATTCTTGGTGCTTCTGTTCATTCCAACCACCTTGATTCTCCTTCTGATGCCCAGTATTGGGTCCATGGTCCCAGGAAAGTAATGCAGCTGAAGAATCATTTAGGTCAGGACTTGATGCACTTGAATGTGAATACTCACTTGAAGTACTCTCTTTGTCATGATTTCCTGAACTGGCCCTCGGGGGGCTATTGTCAGTACTTCTAACTTCCAGGTTCTTAGTTCTCTCAGAACCTGTACAGCTGACCTGCAGACCACTGTCTCCAGGGCCATCCCAAACTTCAAGGCTTTGGGGGCATTCATGAAGTGGTTCTTGGTTCACTCTGTCTGGCTCTGGAATGCTACCTTTTTCAGTTTTCTCAACATCTATTTCAGGTAAAGATACTGTTTTTGTTAACTGCAGCCCACCTGAAATCTCAATAGTTTCATCTGAATTTCTGTGACTCATGAGGGTCTTTTCAAAGGTCTCTTTTGCCTGCAGGTGACTTGCAGAAACCTCTGTTTGTACATCACAGAGGTCTGGATTGTAAGACCCCTTGTCATATTCTAAAACCTTCTGGGGTTCCTCAGTGTGAGGACTGGAAGTGATTGAAAAAGAGCTGATTTTGCCTGGCTCATCACAGATTTCTTGATGTTCAGATGCAACTGGGGAAGAGCATTCCTGACTTTTTCCAGAAATTCCCGAGGCTCTATCCATCTCTTCCTCTTCACTGAGGTGCTCCTGATCAGCAGCTCTGTGGGCTTCCCTCTCACTGTCACTCTGTCCATAGCTAGGATCGTTCCACGGATCTGAGCATGCCAGCTGGCCTGGATTCTCAAGCCTGGCCACCAAGGACATTGTATCACCTGGCAGGGCTCCTCTGCATGTGTCCTGATTGTCAGGATCAAGTGCTCCCGACTCTCTGTCTTCAGAAGCTTCCAGCACATCTGGGATGTGAATGTTCTTACTTTTTTCTGCTGAGCTGAGAGTTTCAGGAGGCGATTTGCTTTGTTCTGAATCTGTAACGTATGCTGAGCTTGGTAACATCAATGAGGACATGTTGTTATCTCTCATGACGGAATCCCAAATATTATTTGCAATTAGCTGTCCACTCTTCTCATTCAGTATGTGATAGTCATTGGGAGCAGTGTCCTTGCTGGGCTCAGAGGAGGCTGGGAGGTCCCAGTCGCCCTGATTTACTTCCTGGTACTCCATGCCCCATGGTTCTAGCTGTCTCACTGAGAATCGGGTTTCGGGTTCGGCACCTTCAGCCATGTATCCTTGTGCTGGCCCTTCCCCAGGGATCGCCACACCTGCACTGCAGTCATCCCAGTCTAAATCATTATCCATGTCCGAGATGGTGGCAGTGGACTGAGTGTCCTCTAGAATCACTCTGTTCCACAAGTCAAGATTGTCAGGGGCCACCTGCCGGGAGTTGGTGCTGCTGTGCAAGAGTGTGAGCTGGCGGTTTGTTTCATTGTACAGCTGCATCATGCTGGGGTCGTCATAACTGGACTGGCTGCTCTCCCCAAGGTCATCCTCCGTGGACATGTTCCCAGTCTCCGCGGGCTCCGTCTTGCATAAATCTTGATCTGGGCTGTGAGTGGCATTTATTTCACAGCTAGTATCTACATGAGGTGAAGCCCACATTTCCAGGTTCCCAGGACCCGAGCTAATTCGATTCCTGGGTGACTGCTGCGGTGATTGAGGAGGCATTTCAGTTTCCCCTGTGACAGAGTTAGCGTCTTTTGATTCAAAACCTTCCTCTTTAGCAAGTGGCTTGTTTTCCGTTTCTTTTTCATCTCCAGCAAATGTTGGTGAAGTATAAGAGTCAGAAGTGGAGTAGTTGGTGTCTAGGGGAGAAGGCACTGAATCCTCCCCCAGGTTGGATGCACTGTAGTCAGAGCATTTATACGATAAGAAGGAATCTTCCCAAGGTGCTAAGATGTCTGATCCTCCTTTCTTGATACTCTCCTCAAAAAGGTCCCAGGAATCTACTTTTTCATACACCTTCCCCCTACTTCTTAGATCCACTAAACCCTGATGATCTTCCTTTGCTGGTGTAGGACTAGTCCATGCTTGACCCAGATCGGACCTGGGATTTCCAGAGATGAGGAGTGTGTCCCTGGAGTCACGCATGTTCTTGCCCCAGATTTCTGGAGCGCCTTCATTGTTTGCCTCGCTTGGCAAATTGTCTTCTGAAGGAAAAGAAAACCCACCTCTTGCTATGGCCCACTCACTCGCGTCCCTCAGTGAAGGTGTCTCACTGCTCGTTGGGTGCACATTCCAGGTATTTTTCAAAGCTTCGGCATCATCTTCTTTGCCAAATGCACTCCAGGCTGGGAATGCCACTGCAGCAGCTGGGTCGCCAGCGTCTGGGGGGTTTCCCCATGGCTCAGGCATGGCTGTGGGGGAGCGATCAGAACGCCACAAAGCGGAGAAGTCTTCTATCAGGTGGTTTGTTCCCTGAGGAGAAGCATTCGGCAAATGTGATTTCTCAGCTGGTAGATTCTGAAACTGCAGATTTTCCTCCTTTTGGTCTTCACTGTTATTGCTGTCCAGCTCAGGCTGACCAAATTCAGGCTCCCAGGGATCTGACTTGGGGAATTCAAGATTCTTTGGTTGAAATATAGAATCTGAGGCTCTCCTGTCAACTGTGCTTGGCTTATGGTCTTTCCACGATTCAGGGCTCTGGAAGACAGATTCCTGTTCGCTAGAACTCCACACATCTGCAATATTTTTCGAGTCAATTTCCAAACCACCCCACCAGCTGCTGCACCGCACACGGAGCTGAGGAGGCCCTGCATGACCCACGTCAACTGCTTTTTGAGTTAGAGCTTCTGGATAGAGTAGAGGTGGCTCTTCAGTGGATGGTGAGCTTTCTACAAAGCTATTCATAGGTGTTGGTGGGACCCTCTTTCCGATATTTTTCAGCCTTTCCGGTGAAGGAGATTCATCGCTCCCAAAACCTGTGAGGCTCAGATTTCTTTCAGAGTTATCCCTGGGACTCTCTTGTCTCTGGACAAATTCCTCATCAAATTCCACAAGGTTATCTTTGCCAGCCCCTGACAAAAGTGAACTGGATGAATAATTAGACACGTCCATCTCTATCTCGTCAAGTCCTTTAGGCTCTGTGGGGAGCTGTCCTTCGGATGAATCGCTGTTGGGAAAGAAGTCATCTGCTGGGGAGTAGTCAGCCGAATGGAAGGAAGGCTGGGACTGCCCAGAAGCCATGGGAGCTGGGTCAAAGTTGAAGAGGTCAAAGTGTTCACCACGCTCTCCAGACCATGCGTGCTCCTCAGCTACTGCCCCCTCGGGGATGGGACTATAGGAGTCCACCCCTGGGAGGAGGCTGTGGTGAGGCCCAGCCCCTTCTCCCACTGGACTGTCATCACTGAGGAAAACTGAACTCTCCTTGGATGAACGGCTGCTCCGAATGGTGGCCAGCCCGCTATCTGGGCTAACAAGGTCTATGCTGACATCCACCTGGGCCTGGTTAGAGTCACTGAGCTCTGGAGGGTTTTCTATGAAATTCACAGAACTGGGCTGTGGCTCTACATCAGAACCATACAATTCCATAATTCCAGAAGATCCCTGGGAGAGTGGGGCGCTGCCGGCCACGGCCTCTGTAGAGGATGTCCGGCTGCTGGAGACCATCTCTGGACACCTCCTACTGATTACTTCCTTGACAAGACGAACCACCTGGTCACACGTCACCAACAGGTTCTTCTGTTGGTACACCAGGATCTCATCACAGCCGCATTCGAAGGGCTCCAGCTCCAGGCAAGGGTTGTGGCACTCTTCCAATTCACAGCAAATCTGTCAGGGAGGCACAGGGGTCTGTGTGAGCACTCAGACACTCTCGGCAATTTCTCTTTTTAAATTTTTCTTAATATAAAATTAATCGGTGTTCATCTGTCTACAAACTCACGAAACTGAAAGCTGTATAATGTAAAACATGTAAAGTCCCATTTAATGTACCACAACTCATTCTCCAGTTCTGTCAAATTAGCTTTTCTTTTAACTCAAAATCCAGCTTCTCAATGTTGCCAGCTCCTTCAAGTTACAGGTAAAGAGATGGATGCCCCCTAAATCTTTTCCTCATTGTAACATAACACCAATAGGAGTGAAACTCAAGTTTACAAAAAGCAGAGGAAATTCTGGTTGCTGACAAGAATGAGGGGGAAAATGCTGGATTTAAAAGCGACTAGGGCAGGAGAAAGGCTTTTGTTTAGTAGCAGGCAGCTGGGACCTGCTTTAACTCTGAAAGGACATAAGGCAAAGGACAAGGGGGGAAAGGGAAGCAGCTACCAGGGATGGGCTGTGCAATTGCACTCAGGCTCCAACCATCCCCTTCTCACCCTTAGAGGCACTGATATGGAGCCCAGCACAGACAAGGCTGACTTGGGAAGCCAAGCCAAAGTATGACAGTCAATGTGGGGCCAGAACTGGGCTGCAGCTCAATGGTTTTTAGGAAACACTGGAAATATTTTGTACACTGGGCCTTCGAATGGCCTTTGAATGGCCTCATATAGATAGAATTTTAATAATAATTCACATTCATTGAGTGCTTCCATATGGCAGGCACAGTTCTGAAGGTTTTACATTACCTCTTTTAATCCTTAAAATAATTCTACAAGGTAGGGATTCTTTATCCCCATTTTGCCAATGAGGAAACGGAGACATGGGAAGGTTAAGTAGCTTGATCAAAACAATGCAGTTAACGGGTGGTGGGGTCACATGTGAACTCAGGCAGGAGAGCTGCAGAGGCTGAGTCTTAACCAACCGTGACCACACGGCAGAAGGGGATTTCTCTAGAGTGGTTTCCGCCTTGTGTTGCTCTAGATTCTGAGGTGCTGTCTCTTGGGTGACAGGTGGGGAGGGTTGGTGGAGAGAGGAGAGGTGGTGGAGAGAGGAGAGGTGATGCAAAATGCACAGATGAGTGGGGGTCAAAAGAGGGCACAGAATGAATCTGCAGTGAGGGAGGGGCTCTTTGATATTCAGCCCCGAGCATGCACAGAGAGGCCTGACAGTGCCTGTAGTCATGTGTCAAGATGGATCTCTTAGGGGATAGAAGGTGAGGACGTGGAAAAGCCTCTGGCCACCAGCGGATAGACAAGGTGTCCAATTCACTGGTGAGGAAAGATCAGTGCTGACGCTGTTCTATGTCTGTGTCATCCATATTTTAATGAATCCCGTATGTTGTCATATTAATGATTAAGTGTGCTTGGTCTGGTACATCCAGTGCCCTTCTCCTTTTAATTTGTCTACTTATATCCAGAGCCTTGCATTAAAAGACTCAGCTATCAACTGAGAGGATCTGACCAAATACTCAGTCAGAATTTTAGTACCTGGAGACTAACTTTGATTAAGGCATCAGATCACCAGTTTCTACACACTGGGCACCAAACAGGTATTCAGACAGGGACTAAACTTTGTTAGTGATTACCAGGGAGTGGTCTTCAGAGAAAACAGTACCCCAAGGAGGACTTGCCCTCCTCTGGGTGATGAAGGTGGTCTTTCTCTCCATGGATTCAACCCAGGAAAGACTGGTGATGGGTCCCACACAGGAGAAAGGGAGTCAAAAGACACAAACTTCTGGTTATAAAATAAGTAAGTCTTGGGGCTATGATGTATAGCATGATGACTATAGTTAATGATATTGTACTCATATTTGAAAGTTGCTAAGAGAGTAGATCTTCAAAGTCCTCATCACAAGAAAAAAAAATCCTCTAATTACAGAGAGTGTGGGATGCTACCTGGACTTACCATGGTGATCATTTTGAAATACATACAAATATCAAATCATTATGTTGGATACTTGAAATTAATATAGCATTATATGTCAATTATACCACAATTAGAAAAAGAGGACCAATATTTATCTTACTGCCTATTTATTTAGGTGAGTTTAGCACATAGCATCAAAACTAACAACTAAAGATCTGAATGAAAGCACTAAAAACTAAAATAAACAAATAACCCAAAGTACAAAATACCCCTAATATTTCTTAAAACTCAAACTCCAGGACCTTATCTCTTGGCCAATTTCTTTAAGCCACTGATCTGTGCCTATCTTCTACTGTGTGTCTAGAGAGCCAGCAGATTAGCCAGCAGTGACATTTTCCCAGGGGTCAGGGACATTCTCACCTGGCTGCACAGCTCAAGGTTCTCAGAGTACACAGCGATCTGTCGTCTCGGCTGTTCCTCCTCTGATAGGTAGCTGGCACAGAGGATGAGGGCATCAAAACCGAACTTGTCTGTAAATGCTTTCAAATCACTGGTGATATTTCTGTGAAACACACAGTTCTGAAACAACAGGCAATTTGATGTTAGTGTCAAACTGCCTAGCTTTGGAGGGTTATGCCAAAAATTTGTCCAGTCTTAGGAAGTATTATGACAGATATTTATTATTATGTGCAAGTGAAGTAAGCACACACATTTGTACACTTCCATGCTAGGGCTTAAAAATATTGTTTTCCTAAATCAAGAAAGGAAGGAGACTTCCTTTGCCATTATTATTAAGAATAGTTTAGACAAGGAGGAAAAAATATCTTAATGATTTTTCCTAAAATATTTATTCAAATACTGACTTTGCTAAACAAACTTTTCTTCCTATTATTCATAAGATGTATAGATTATCTGCTGACTATTGTTACAACTTATGACTAGGAAAATAGGAGGAAGTTATTTTTCTTCTCTATAATTTTTTTCTAATTATGGTTAACTCCAAGTCTAATTCCTAAGGGTGAATCTAGCCAAGGCCATTGAATGCTTTCTAGCCCAGTAAGGGCTGTGTTGTCAGATCTGCTTGCTCCAGTGGTAGCTCAGGAGGAATGAGTAATTGTGGAAGAGGGCCCTATGGCTACAGTGTACCCTGACCTGGGGCTCTCATCATCCACAGAAATAAGCTGGCCTTTTCGAGTTTTACTGACTGCAAAGAGAACGGCTCTGTTGGCGTGTTGTCTGTCTTCCTTAAGGGAATATAGTGAAGACCATATGTTAGCCCCTAGCTTAGTGGCATATAGTATGTCCTCAGCTAACCACTATGAAGAGCTAAACAGGGCCATGCATATGGGTACAGATATTTTCCATGACCAGATTAATATTTATAGGTGGCAGCTTTTTGAAGCTTATGGATTTGATATTTGTGGATTAGATTATTTACCAGCCATACTGGAGATACCCTTACCACCTGTCCTCTGTAATTCTGCCAAGTGGCATCTCAAGGGCTGTGAGGCCCCTGCGAAGCCACATGAAACCCTTGGTAGGTGTGTGGGCACAGCCCGTTGCCAGCTTCCACACCGTAAGGAGCTGTTGTTGTCCACTCATGTGGCAGCCACCCTCATGAGGCACCTCACTTTTTGGTTGTGAAGAATTGCACATGGGAATTCACAAAGGTCTCAGGGCATACTGCTGATGAATACCAAGGACCTTTGCACTGATTTGGTAGTGAAATTTATGATCGTCCATTCCCAAAAGCATACTGTTGGCTTTCATGCTTTTTATTTATTATCCAAATGTCATAATAACAATCTTTAAATAGATACTTAAAAAAAAATTAATTCACCCACAATAGAAGCAGATATTTAGAATGAATTTTTTTAAAAACATTGGACTTCATCACATATGCAATATTCATTCAATGGACAAAATTATTTCAAATTGTCATTGGTGTTATCACGGACCTCAGTGTTGAGCTCTTTGCCATTATGAATCATAAAAGAAGATACAGTCCTAAAGGAAAACAAGAATGAACAGACCTACCTACATCCTATTTCCAGTGGCTAAAGGCTTTGGCCAAGAAGCCCTACAATTTTCCTTTCAAAATATTTTTTTCATTATGTACATAACTACCCCCCCCTCCAACTACATTTATAAATCCTTGAAAGAAGGTGCAACATTTCTAAGAGATTTTTCATATCTAATAACAATGATTATGACACAAGACAGGCAGGTTTTACTGTTGTCTGAGCACAAGATTAAGCATTATTTAAAGCCATGCTTGTGGAGCATTTGCTATTCAACAATGCTGGCTGGGCTGCAATCTGTTTGGGTTCTTCAATGTTGAAAGGATGGCTCTAGGATCTTGCTGGACTCAAGTTCAGGGGCATTGGCAACACTAGGCAGAGCCACAGGCCATGCCCCAGACCCATTGAGGAAGGACCTGTTTCCCACATATCCTGGCTGATTGGAATGCACATTGAAATCCGAAAAGCAATGCCGTAGGGAGGCCTTTGTGCACCGATGTATTTTCCTACAAACCAATCCTTTGGGTTCTCTCAATGTGTCATGAAAATGTACTGGCTGAAGCCCTCAGCAGCTTGTTTCTCACACTGGCTTCATCATAAAAATCACCCTGAGCTGTGTATTTCTGGGCTGTTTTTCTAGAGGTACTTGTTTAGAAGGTTGAGAATTGGGTCTGAGAATCTGTATTTTCATTATGAATCTCAAGTGATCCTTTGGATCAAGCTCTTGTGGGCAACACTCTCCCAGTTTTCCTCTGGGTGGCTCAGATTCCACAGGATCAAATTAAGTAGTGATAAAACAGATTTATGTGAATCACTTAGGCAGGTTAGAGAAACAAAATAGTTACATTTTACAGTAACCCCCAAACAGATCATCAATAACTGTGTCCTATCAACCTCAGTATAATTGTCTAAACAGAATTGCTCTTACTGGCTTTAGGATAATGTCAGGAATTGCATGTTTAACACAGAATCAAACAAGGAATGAGCGAGAATCTTCAGGAATCCGGGAGGCAGAGTCTGTTTGTTCTGCTTTTATGCTGTTGCTGTTTGCATAGGAGATAATTTATTATTGTCTCCTAGCTATGCAGGGAGTCATGTGCTGGAATGGTTCTTATGTTGCTGACAAGCTAGGCTGGTCCTGAATAAACAGCACTTCATCATTAACACAACCCAAGTGTACATACAGGTTGGCATTTTATTCCCTCCATCTGCCTTCTACCTGATAAATTACTGTTTTAGTTACATGTATACAAATACTATTTGTTAATCTGCTCAAATGTCTCCAAAATGTTTCCCACCTTAAGTTCAAATTACATACATATATATATTTCTCACACCCAGTTTGCTAAAGGTTTAGAAAATAGATACTACCTTAATTTACCACCCTGCCCCCACCCAACATTTGAAATAGATCCAGTCTGACCTTGCTGCATGAAATTTAGGAAGTTACTGATCGTTACAGCTGGGAAATGACTGGCAAAACCCCAGACTATTCCGGTACATCAGTTAGCAAGAGTTGGAAATGCTCCTTGTTACACTCCTTTGTCACTCATGGCTCCAAAGATTCAATTAACATTTTTAGGGGTCATGAGTCCTTTTGCCCGAGTAATTCCTAGTTTTGGAATGAGTAGGAAGATCTGGACATGGCTTTTGTTATTTCCTGGCCAGAAGCAAAGGTGTAGATCTCAAAGGCTGTAAAGAAAGGGTGATGATCACGATGACAGAGGCAGGGAAGCAGAAATAATAACAGCTGTAATATAACAAACCAGACAGTGATGGTGTTCAACAGATTTACTACATTTGTGGCTGAAAGTACGCAAATGCAGTGGAAAATTCCATTCTCTCACAAAATCCTAACTTAGTTATTATTCCATTGCTCAGAAAAATTTAGTCTTTACACTATATGCTGATAGCTTTAGATCATCACATGAAATACAGGTGATTTAAATATTGTCTTGTAAACAACTGAATACTTAAATGTGGACAGTCCTTCAGAGAGGAAAATCCCCTCTTCTGACATCGCTCATATATTCTTATCTTCTGACTTCCGGAGACCCTCCGGTCAGGTTCCTGCCCCCACCATTCCACTGAGACTCCTCTACTCAAAGATACCAATCATTTCCAGGTTGCCTGATCCCCAGTCACATGCCTGTTCTTCCTTTATTTCACCTCTCAGAATAATTCCACCAGCTTGACCCTCCCTCCGTCTTGAAACAGTTACTGCCTTCCTTTTCCTGACACCACTTTCTCCTTGTTCTTTCTCCCTACTCAGGGACTACTTCTCAGTCACTGCTGCTGGTTCCTCACCCTTATTCCACCTCTCAATGTTTACCACCCCAAGCTTTGTTTCCAAACCCCTTTTCCTTCTTTATCTACACATTCTCTTTGGTGATCCCATCCAGTCACATGGCTTCCAAACCACCTATCTGCCAGAGACAACCAAATCGATTTCCATTTGAATTCTAACCTTGTCTCTCCATATGGTATTCCCACGTAAACGTCTAATAAGCATCTAACATAAAATACAACTGACTCCCACCACGCACTCAGTTACTCAAGCCAGACATCTAGGAATTGTTCTTGATTCTCTTTTGTCCTCATACCTCATCCATCAACAAGTCTTGTTAACTTCATGTCTAAAACATAGCTCAAGTCCAGACACTTCTCTCACTTCCCTCCATCTATATTATTGTGCTACCCTCAGTCACCATCATCTCTTGCCTAAACTTTGGCAACAGCCTCCCGCCCAGTCTCTCTGCAGCCCCTCTTACCTCCTTAAAACCAGTTCTCCCCACAGCAGGAGAGAGCATTAAAATACAAGATTAAAATACAAAACGTAAACAGAATCATGACACTCCTCTGCTTTAAAACCCACTCAAAAGTTTCTCAGTGTAATTATATTATTGTTTTATTATTTTTTAAATTGGGAGGAGGTTTTAAGGTCTTTGAGATTAAGGGTTCTTATAAATCAATAAGAAAAAGTGGACATGCAATAAAAAAATAGTTGGAGGACATAAAAGGCCATTCACAATTGAAATTCAAATGGTCAATAAATATCTGAATCATTGGTGGTCAAAGAAATCCTCTGATAATAAAATATTTAATCTTTTCTTTTCCAATTATTGGTAAATATTTCCAAATAGGCACTCTCATGCATTGTTAGAAATGTATTCTAAAGAAACAATCAGATATGCACCCACAAGGTTTGTATGCTAAGCTTTTCACTGGATTGTTACTTTAATAACTAAGATTTAGAAATAATTTAAATTTAGGATAAATTTATTCTAAAATAAAAAAATTTTAGAATAAATTCAATAATACAGAAATGGTTAAATAAATCATGGAAGAGTCACACAAAAGAATATTATTCTACTCTTAAAAATAATGCCATCAAATTATACTTAATGACACAAGAAAACACTCTTGAAAACATTCATGACTCAAAGTAGAAAATAATTTTTATAATCATAGAAAAAGAATTTCTATGTGAATTCAAGTAATATATATTGAAATCTAATATAAAGTGGACATTCAGATACCTTGATATTAAAGTTGCTA